CTAATACAAATGTTTCTTATTTATATAAATATACATTTCACTTGGTAATCGTGGGGGTTGTGTAACAGCTGCTAATATTGAGTGTTTATGAGGTAAATTGCAAAAGTAAATAAAAGAAGGTATGTGATTAAACGTGTCCTGCTGGTCATTCAGGGGTCACCTGAAAGGTCGGAGGTAGAAAGGGGATCAAGTCACTATTATGACTCCTTGCTCAGTTTTCACTGAAGCACAAAATAAATTTGCTTTCTTAGAGCAGCTGAGGGTAAAGAAGTGGTATAGGTTACCAGCAGTTATACCATAAGTTGAAGAGAATTGTACAATTGGCTGATGACTTTCTACTCTCTTTTGACATCAGCAGTCTAAAACATCTAAGGTGCTGTGCTCTGTCCTGCTATGTCTATAGTCTGTGTACGCCTCACTTTGTGCTGTGTCCCAAAGCTCACTTTGGACTGCAGGCTGCTTGGAGACAGTCAACTTGTCAAGAGTGAATTATTATTTTTATCTGACATCTATACTTTGATTAGAAGGATTCATAAAGTAGAAAGTCTATTGGATTGCCAGTGTGTGGATGGATCCACTTCCTCTGAGTCAGACATGGTTTCACTGAATCTGCCGCCACTTTCTCAGGGGGTGATGATAACGAGAAATAAAACACTTCCTCAAGAAATCTGGTGACTGTAAGCCACTGGTCACAATTGAGATAATATGATAGTATTTGTAGTTTAAGCATGTCAGTTGAATCAGTCCTAAGGCTTTCTAAATTGAACATATAGTCAGAGCCTTCTGGTCACTTTAGTAGAGTTTTTTTACCAGTCGAATTAAAGTTAAATTATAGTCACCACAGCTCTGTCCAAACAAATGTGTGGTCAGTTTAAAGCTTGCTGCTGACAGACATAAATGAAACAGAGTGCAATGTATCTCAAATTATTTATCCACAGGTGTGACTATACTTGACCAACTTGACCCCTTGTTGACACTGTTATAGATATATATGTTATAGATATATATGTTATTTTTATAACAGTTATTTGAAACAACAGGAAATCCACACATTGGTGCAGAGACTAACACTGGAAAATTGGTTTTCAACACCCATTACCATTCCTGATTCTCAAGGAATTGGGGAAGACAGACATCTCTTTTTGTACAAAGTTGTACTTCTCAGCTGAAATTGAATTGGATTCTGAAATTGAGACCCAGCTAAAAGAAAGCTGGAAAATTGGCTTAAATGATATATTTTTAGATAGCACAGTGCCACTCGTGTTAAAAAATTGCAACATAACAAAAGTTAGTTAATAATATTGGAAACTGAAATTGAAAATGCAAAATGTAGGGGTTTGAAGTACCTTTAAATAACACACATGCTCAAATACCTTTGCAATAGTCAAGAAAAAAAGTTGGTTACAAAAGTCAGTTACAAAAAATTGCCTGAATGTGTGGCATTTCTTGCACAATGAACCACTTCAATTGTAATGACCCTGATTGAGTAATTTGCTAATGATCCTTAAAGAATCTTGCATTTAATGTATTATGGCTTTGTGTTCTTTTCTCATTTAAAGACCATTATCATGACCCAGGGGCCATTCAAAGTTAGTAGTACTTACTGACTGGTGCTAGGCCTTGGTTGATAAAGTTACTGATATGTCAAGTTCCCCAAGGATTAACAAAACTGGATGGGTTTAATGAAACATAATGTGCAGTCAGTGAGCTTCTATTTAGTGCAGATGATTTAATATAAAAATCAAGCATTATTTAGTGTGCTATGTTTCTTTGATAAAAGAAACAATAATGTTTACCTGAAGGGTATGTATGACAGACCGAAATTAAAGGTATTAAGTTGAAGTCAAAGAACACTGAGAAAAGAAATTTGTAGCCCAGTTCAGTTGTTTTAGGATCAACATAAAAGTTTAAACATTCCTGAAGTGCAAATCCTATAGAAAGAGAAAATTTTGCAAACATTAAGCTTTGATAACAAAATACCCATGGTTCTGAAATCAGTAAGGCAAGGAAGGAAAGACTGAGATATTTAAAAGAATCACCCTTTTGGCCAGAAAAGGTTCACTTTGAATCAAAATTTGCTCTAGGTTCTATGCCATTTCTCAATTTGGATCAACTAAAGGGGTAAAGGGTCCATATTTTTAGAAAAAGAACCCCCACCCCTTCTTTGAAATTCCTGGCTGCAGTGGAGTACATGCGTAGTCACCCTGAACACAGTAGCCAGTGACCAGTCTTCACTGAGTCTTGAGGGAATAATTTGGTGCTTTATGGGAGGTGAGACCCCATTAAGATAATTAGATAATTTGTCTCCTGCTGTAAGGAACAGCAGCTAGATTTGCCCCTGACTTGATGTGCCAGTTAGAAGTCACTCAGGTGTGAAAGTAGTGCCTAATCTACTGACTGTAATGAGAATGAATCAGTGCACTGTTATGTAGCAGGGAATCAAAACACTCCATCTTGTCTTATTGATTTGGCAATATCTCTTTTATATAAAACATTATTGGTGTCTACAACTAGACTAACTTTGTAATGCTGAATCAGTTTAATCTGACAACGATTTAAGACTATGCCAAGTATTCTAAAAAGTTAGTCTACTTGTGAATGTGACTATATAAGTATTCCACTGTGATGATGTGCCATTTAGTATTCTTGTTCTGTGCAGTAGAATCAGAGCAATGTGTCTTGTGCTGGCTGACCTGACTGCTCCAGACAGTGTAATTAGGTGTTAGGCCATTCAATCTGTGCCTCTGCCCTCCAGAACCTCTCTGGCTGCTAATGTCTAGTGTCCAAGCACATTACTGACTGTGCACTAAATAGATGCTAAATTTATGATGAGAATTTGATTCTGGATTTGATATGGATACTTAAAAAAAATCATTTTGATCCTCGTTCGCTTTTATTTGTATCCATTTCATATTTTGACCTTTTTGATAAAGAGCTAGCTCATAAGAGTAGTTAAAGCATGACTGATAATGTACAATATGTAAAAACATCTGAATCATGACATGCTGTCAAACTTCATGGGCTGTAACTTATCATTCTTCAACTAGAGAAAATGATCCATGCAAAATTGAGTTAGTTAATGGACATCTTTTTTTTTTTACTACATATACAATTCGTTTCCTGGAGGAGACTACTCTAAGACTGAATAAAAACCTTCTAGGCCCTTGTTGTTCCCTAATTTAGTAAAATGGACACCATAAAAACTACGCCTTTCCATGCCAGCAGATGGTCAAACTGTTTAGTGCTTAATTCCTAGAGTTCTGAGAGTTCAGGCAGGTTCCAAGACCTCCAGGAATTACAAAGTTTACCTTGTGGGACGTAAATTGTGAGCTTATGTTTCACGTAGGGTTGACCACTTGTGCAGATCAAAATGAAAACATCTTCCAATGTGGATTCTGTTGAGTATGTCAATGCAGTCTGCTATTTCCTGTTAAAATAGCTGATTAAAGAATGCAGAAGTTAAAAGATAAATGGACTCTACCCACACAGCTGCGGAAGTAATCATTTAAAAAGATCAGATACTTACTGACCACAGGGAGGATTTGGAGTTAAAATTGTTTGCATTTACCTGGTTAGAATGTTACTACATATGGTTATGTGGTCTGCTTGTATGCACACAATTTTAAATTGAAAATAGTCACTGTTATATTTCTGAGGATAGGATACAGGCTTTAGTGCTGCTGTGTGGTTTATTTGAAAATTAAACCTTGTCTGACATAGAAATTTGTTACATGTAGCTTGAGGCAGTGTGAGAAAAGGGCAGTTTATTTCTCATATTTAAAGGGTTAATTTGGTTCTGCAGCAGTGCACTGGAATGTCACGTAAGGTACTTCTAAGGTGCAAAGCATGTGTATATATCGGGGGCATGTGATCTCCCGGACCCTGCTGATACTTTCAACCTTTCTAAAGCAGACTACCATTAAGTCTGTATACTTTATTTTCATATGTTATAATTGGGTTTGCTTACACCTTTTTGGCCTCATCATCCAGGCCAACTGGGTTAAGGGCGGAGGCTTGCTACTGTGACTAACATGTCCCATCCTCTTGACAGCCTCCTTAATCTTCCTCTCAGCTAATGAGTATTAAACTTGAAATGTCTGCAATAAACTATTTTTGGGATACTTTTTATTGTGCAGTGACAGATACAAACATCAGACATTTGTGGTTCTTAAAGATGAGCAGAATTTTTCTTAAAAGAGACTTTTGTTACTGGTTCTGAATAAACTTCGAAAGACTATCAGCTAGATGATTATTTCTATTTGGGTTCACCCTGTTTAGTAGCTTTAGGCCAAATGCTAAACATAGTCTAATTTGGCTGGGGAAGTGTAAAATATGTTACAGTATTTCAGCCAATTTTATCTTTGATATATTTTAGCATTTTGATTTGGCTTGAATATGCCTGTTATGTGGTTGCAAATTTTATTCTAGAGAACGCAGTGTATAAGCCAATGTCCTTAAATTGCACCACCACACCAGTACAAGTTCCTAGTCAGTGTCCCTTTGTGTGATTGACTTATTACCAGCGATTATATCCATTGGGCTTGCTTTTGACCAGGAGTATTCGTGTACAAAGTTAAATCACCTGATATAAGGCCATCACATTGAGTTGTGACATGGAGCCTTCTCATGTGTCGATATAATCTTGCAGTCTTTGATCAATTTTTCTCTTCACTTTAACTACTGGTGGCATGATTGATATAGGACATTAATTTCCATCAGGTTTTTTTTTCCTCTGGAGAATGAGAGTTTACTAACACAAAGATATAAATAATTTCTTAATGTGTTATTTCTTCATTTTACTGGGTATCAAAGTGCCCATAAGATGGCATAACATGTGTTAACTGTAGTAGTAGATTTATAGGTGGTCAGGAAGGGAGCAAAAATGTTATTACAAACTGCCTAACATATCCCGCTCTATGAGAAAGCCACATGCACTCTCGGGACCCTTTTAGTGTAGTGGTCTGCAAAATAGATCTAGAGGATGAAATCAATCAGAGCTAACATACAGTAATGATGCCCAGGAAAAAAATGTCCAGAATATGAAATACAGTAAACAAAGACAAAGCTGTGGATGGAAATGGCTCCGTTTTTGTCAAAGATTATGGAGGAAGGTCGTGAGAATTCTGGAGAATTTCTTAATTTTAAGCTCTGGTGGTTTTTTAGGTAATGATTGATTGTATGCTTCCCATGTGCTCTCCTTTGTTTATAGACAGAGTACAATAGCATGGTTTGCAGATGTGTTTGCTGTCTGTTGCTTTGTCATTGCTCAGACTTCAGCTGTTAAATGATGATTTAGCCAGGCTAACAAGAATATACTCAGAAGTCCTTTACAATAATCACCTTCTTTCCAGGGCTGCTCAGTTTATAATGTATACAACTTGACTTATAAAAAATATCCTTCTCCATCAAGGCCAATATTTTCTTACTTCATTTACCCACTGTTAAAGAAGAACATTAATACTTTTCTGAGCAAAGCAAATCCCAACTTTTTAAAAATGGTTATTCCTGAAGACATTAGTGTTAGGGTCATGCCTGGCTGCATGCTTAAGAATATTAACATTTTTTCTAAATATATATAAAAGACAATTTCTTATCTTGGTATTTTTGTTTGTATGTTTATTAGATTTGACATTTACTAGGGTTAGATTTTAGAGGCCTGAAAATTGTTACTTATCTGTTAAAATGTTTATTGCCCATCTACAATCTCAGTATTTTTGTACAGTGTTCAAGCAATTGTAGGCATCAGAACATTTTAACATTAGATTTCTTTGAACATCTGATTGTCTAATAAAAAGAAAAGAAAAAAATGTACATTTTCCCCTTTTTTGCAACAGATTGGATGGAGCTGGATGTTTTTTGTACTACTGGATATATTGTTGTAACCCCATTAGGTAGAGCAAACTTGGAACCACTTTTCTCAGCTGGTGCTGATAACAAACAGATACAACACATTCCCAGCACAGTAGCATAAAACAGACTACCATGTTACACTGGGTGAGGAACTCAGTGCTCAGTGAATGCTCTATTGTGTCTCAGTTGATCCCCACCAGCATACTGTGTCCCTGTATTAGTCAAGCACCTGTTTTTTTTTAGTGGCATTGAGATAACAAAGTTTGCCTCTCTTTGGGAGGATGTTCTGAGCATAGTTGATTACTCAGATGACTAGCAAGGGGCTGACTGTGTCTGTCTGGGGCTGGTTTAGTGTGAAATGATGTGGAGAGAAGCATGACAAGAATACTGTCATGTAATATTACACAGTTTTACAGTTGATGACCTGCTAACAGATGTGAGAACTTAGCTATTGCCCTCCCCATCAAAATCTGTTAATTTCAGCAGTGCAGAGATTGATTCACTGTATTGAGCAGTGCTGCTTTGTCATTAGACTTAAACTGGGTGTGAAATTGTTTGTTTAATCAGTCATGAAACCCTTATTTATATTGTTGCATGTTCGAAACTGCACATTTTAAATCTAAAGATTCAGAGGTTACAAAAGATACATTTTTAAGGCATTAACTCATTGAATGATGCACATGTTCAGAATTCTTCCCAAAGAATATTTTGTATAGAATTAAAACTCAAACCTTTATGTTAATAGGGTTTTATCTTTGAAACATTTAAATATTATATCCCAATACCTTTAGGCTTTCATATGTTTTCAGTATAACGTGTAAGGCTTAGTGGTATATTTCTAGAAATATTGTGTTAATACTTACAGACCCGTAGCTAGGGGGGGTTCGGGGGGTTCGAAAGAACCGCCCCTTTTGCTGGGAAAAGGTCCACTCTGGGTAAAATTTGATCTAGGTACATGCAGTTTTTATGGGAAAAGGTCCAATTTTTCAGAAAAAGAACCCCCCTTTTGAAATTGCTGGCTACGGGCCTGTACTTATGACATTTTTGTAAAAATTTTGTATGGTAAATATTTTCTTGTTTTGGATATTTGCAAAGAAATAGCAAAAGACCTTGCAGGTATTCCCATATATCTTTTCGTCAAGGAAATGCATAGCATGTCTTGCTCCACATTCCTACATTTGTCAGATTACCTGTAAAGTGGTATAAAAAAGCCAGTGCCATCTAGTACATTCCATTTTACTAAGAAGATACAATAAAAAAATTTGAGGGTACAGGTCAAATTGCTTCAACCTTTCCACCCATCCTGATTTATTCATAATCTTTTCCCCCAATGTGACTACTATTCTTATACAGCAACAGTATTCATTTAACTTGATTGGCGGTGCAGGTTGACTTTGAGGACTGATTCCAGCAGGGTGATACCTTCTTGTGTTTGTGTCTCAGTACCTTAAAAAGAAAATTATGAAGAATCATATGTACTGAGTATTATGGCTATTAGTATTTGTTTATAAAATAAATGTAACAGCTTTTCTAGTAAAAACATTGGGTTTGGCTAGGTTCGGTTTATCAGTTGAAGAAACAAAGTCTGATGTTGGTTTCCCCACAGGTGGTAAGTAGAGCCTTGTGCTGGATCCTGTTGCCTTTTATTGGAAGCTAAGAATCATCACATTGCATTTTATTACAGGCCTCACAGCGTTGGAAATGTTTCTTTCTTTGACTTTTCTTCAGTCATTTCAATTTGAGACTTAGTGATGCATTTCTTTTTGACATTTTTGGATCAGTTTAAAAAGTCAGATCATGTTTTATTGAAAATGTTTGCTCTACTGGAATCTATAATTTAGACATTGATGGATCATTTTAAGAAAATCACAGGTATACTGATTTTGAGGTGAATAAACTTGTTGTAGGTAAAGATTATAGTTTGATGTTAGCACTTCATTTTGATCAGAATGAAGGGATGTTAGTGAAGGCGGCACTTTGCTGAGGGGCATTCAGGCATTGTGTGTACCGGTATATGATGTGGTTGGAATGGTGGGCAGACTTTCTGTAATGTCACTTCCCTGACATCCACTGTGAACATGACGACTGCAGTGTAAAGTATATCTCATAATAACAGCATGTTGCTGGCGCTAAAAAAGTTTTTCATTCCAGCTACTACTGAAGGTTGTATGTTTCTTATAATTATGCCCTATAGCTTGCACATGAAAGGATGAAAAAAACCTATCTGACTAGCTTCCAGGGCAGAAACCTATGACATAGTTGGTATATTTCCCCAGATCTGTACTTGTAGGACGTAGAAGAAAGCAGATAAAATTCATTTTCCTCAGCACATGATGCATCAAAATATACAATATTAGTCATATATAGTTAGAATACTTAAAAATCCAGAAAAAAAAGTCACCTGCCTTGGTTGTGCAGTGAGAATTCTGTTAAGAATACACATTCATCTCAAGCTTATCCTGGAGATTCAGATATTTATTAGTTCCATGTCATGTTGAAGATGCTAGTTTGAATACTGGTATATTTGTGCAAGACCTTTTACATACATGTAAAAGACACCCAGGTACAGTAATAGAGGTGATCTAAGGTGATCGGATGTTCTCACTTAGAATTGTGATCCAGGTTTTGTATTGTGGTTAAGCTGAGGTGAGTGGTCGGTTCAATTGCCGGCAGCGTGTTTTAAGAGGCACCCACATGATTGTTTGATTTGTAAAAACATGTCAGGCACACCTCTGCATTTACCCTTCTGATTGAGTCCAGTGGATATCCTTTGTTACCGAGGTGTTAAAGGAGAAGTCATGTCTTTTTTTCAATCTGCTATGTATAACATGTTTTCTTCAGCCAAGGTCTACTGCAAGTCTGGTCTTTTGTAGTAGAAACATAAATAGTAAATATTTTTCTTTTCAATGCATTTTTTATGGAAGAAATATTAGAAAGTAGTGATAACAGATATGCAGTATTTTACTGCAGGAAGCCAGCTATGCAGTCAGCCATAGTTACTCAAAGAAATCAAGCTTTTCAATTAAATGCTATAATGACCATCTTTGAAACTATTCAGTTTTCTGTAGTATTGCTTTAGGCAAGAGAGGTAATGGATACTTAGTTATGTCTCTGTTAAACAAACTGGGCATGGGCATTTGAATTTTTTTCTTTAGCATTTTTTCTTGCCATGTGATCCTGTATTGGGAAACAGGAAGAGACATTGTCAGTTATCAGTGGAGTTGTTGACCCATGTGAAGGGAATTATGTTTCAGAGGTCTTCTGCTGGTGGTCTGAATCCACATTCACAGATGCTCAGGAAAAGTAATGTGTGTTAGCCCAGGAGAATCCTCATCTGTGCATCTGTGCTTTTACATTATAGATTTATTATAAACTAACAGGCTCTGTTACTGTGCTCCCATAGATTATAGAATGCCAGCTATTTCATGAGTGAAAGCATGTATGATAAACAATTTATATTTGTTGCTATTTTTTAACATTTAATGTCTAACCTGGACATTTTATCATGAAGATGCTGGGTTCAATGTGGGAGGTTAGATTTGACCATCTTGTTTTGGAAATGTCTTTCAAAATGTTTTTGTAACTGAGAAATTGATTTGGAATGTAAGTAATGGTGGTTAATTTGTATCTTCTTAACAACAAAATGTTTACCCTTGGCTGAGTGAGACACAAGTTGTGTTTAGAAATGAAAGGATGGTTTGCTCAGCCCAGGTAGTCACATCAAGTCTGTCATAAAAATAAACAAACAACTGCTTTGAAAGCAATTTTACAATGACAATAATTGAATAAATTGACAGCAGTGAGTGAAACCTGAATCAAGACAGGAAAATGTATCCTGAACAGTGCAAATTAATGGATTCACTCTTTTACTAAATAAGAAACAAAATCTTATATTAGGATTGCCTGTGACCCATTATAACATAACATCTGCTCTCCAAGTCCACCACTGAGTTAAGTTACCTATCCCAAAATGAATGCCCGTCAGCATATCATACCTCACCAGGTTTGTGTGGACGGTTACTGACCATCTGGTCATCTGGATAGTATGTCCTGACTGTCAGGTGTGCAGAGCACCTGCTCTTTCGGCTTTAAGTGGGACTTCACCACAGTCATGCTTTTAACTCTGAGGAACATGTACACAAAATGAATGGGATCAGTATTATATTTCTTTTACTCCAAGGAATCTTTTCACAGAATGACTTGAGTCATATTAATCCTTCTTTTAGCACTAAGATGGCTTAAATAATCAGAGCCAACCTCTTAACTTTGAAGGATATTTAGTGTATACAAAGACAAAGTGACATGAATCATTACAGAAATCCTCTGAACTCAAGGGACATTTTTTGTGCAGACTGATCATATTTGATGAGTTTCTAATGCACGAGGGAGTACGTTATTTAGATGAACTTTAAATTTTTCAAATATGTCTTTAGTGTGGTGTCAACAAATTGTGTGAAATTGACGGCATTGTGCTTGTTCATGAAAGATATTGTCTGACAACTTTAGCCTTGGACTTTGGTATGCAATCTGTTTTGTACACATAATGTAGACATATCTATGAGGGGGGATCTCAAGGGTAAGAATGTATAGAAATGATTACCTTCTTAATCCTGTAGAAAACTCAAAGAATCCATGGTCTAGAACTTCTAGACCTGAAGAATATTTACTTGATTCAGTTGATAGCTGTTGGCTATTAAGCTGACCAGCTGTGAGAGAAATAAACAAGGACCAGCTTCATTCCAGTTGCTGTGCAATTAATGTGTGAAAAAAACTCAACATTTCAATCAACTCCATATTAGACAGTCTGCAGTTCGAAATAATATACAGTTTGGTCCAGCAAATACCTTTTGGTCTTTGGGGAGATTAAGATTTCAGTGTTAAGAAGCCAGCACCTGTTGTTCAAATGTAAAAAAAGAAAACATTTGTTTTTTACTTTCGTAATTAGTGTTTTTATAAGGACTCTTCTGTCTGACTAACACTCTCAGTGTTGTGCATGCTAATGTATGCTGACTTCAGTTTCACTTAAACTTACACTTAAGATAGCAATCATCAAATTTAACCAATTTGAAATGTCTGATGGAGTTGTTCTTCAGATTCTATAATCAGATATGGGGAAGAAAAACAAGTCAGGTCAACCAAAAAATTCGGAAGTGGTTCTAATTCTGAACAAATGTTTTGCTCTGTATCAGGTCCACTGCTGGCATAGGCAATTGTGTCTTTTGCCTTCATAGTAACCTGCTTCAGAGAAGTTGCCTGCTTGAAACATACTTCAAATGAGGGACTTCAAAGAGCCCCTATTAATGTCAGTTGGCTCATGGTAGTGCTACACTTAGCCACAGTGGCAAAGATTTTCATGGTCATTAAATGTTCAGAATTGTCTATTGAAAAACTTTATGACACATGACACGAAGGCTGCCATTAGAGATAATTAGGCAGTGCTTTTTTATTACCAGTTGACATAAGAAAACCCACAAACATCATTTGAAGCTTTGCTGATTAATGTATTTTTAGTTTGAGCTAAACATATTGAGTTATGGTTAATAGTTGATGTGTTCTTCTAATTATCAACATTTCTCAAAAGATTTTAATTTTTTTTCATGGCATCTATTTATGAATTTCTTGAAATATGTATATTGAAATAATTGATTTTGACCATTTTTATCAGAAAAGATCACATGTAATTGCTGAAACATGTTATGTATACTTATACTTTCTTTGTTTCAGAACCTAGGGAGTCAGACTTACTACAAGCAATTGATGTGAGGCCATTAACACCCCATGTAACATTCATTAGTGGATTTGATGGCTATCCAGCTTTCCAGATCAAGCATAATGCAGACATTCAGAAACCAGTGTTATCATATCTACCTAAAGTTCTTTTTGCAGAATTTTCCATTCTGGTCACTGTCGAACAGTTCTCTGCAGAAGGAGGATTTTTATTTGCAGTAGTGAATCCCATGTCAAATGTCCTTCAGTTTGGATTGAATATCACAGAGGTGGTGGACGGACACCAAAATATAGTACTTATTTACACAGAACTAGAAAAACATAAGGAGTTGGAGCCAACAGCCACTGCTATTGCCACCTTTAAGGTGCCCCAATTTGTAAAACAATGGTCGAGATTTGCAATCTTGGTTTATCAGGAGAGTATTACACTTTACTTAGACTGTGAGGAATATGAGACAGTGACCTTCGAAGACAGGAAGCCACTGATGCTCATTCCTGGATCTACGCTGTACATAGGGCAGGGCGGAGCATTTGGAGGCCATTTCCAGGTAGGCTGATTATGTGTTAATGCTGTGAAGATTAAAGAAAATGTTGAGATATTACTAAGGGTGGGTGTAGATGGGGGTTGAAGGAGGAGGCTTGGTCACTCTAATATAAAAAGACTAAAGGACTTTCTGTATTGTTCTTTCCTAGCTTTCCACCTTTAACTGTTATACATCAGTCTTGTTTGTCTTTGAAAAAAGAAAAAGAAAAAAAAACATAAGATAGGTGCAAATTTAAGCAAAGGGTTTCTTCCTCAAAAGAAGCAATTTTATGTAAGAGGCAAGGGTGTGTATCATGTTGCAATCTCAATTTTCTTGTATAATAGGCGTTATTTTTGAAGGAGTATCACTGACTGGTTAACCACCTAGCACCCACCAGGTATGAAATGCAAGATTAGCCCATATCTTAGTATGCAGACTGATAAAGATCGCCTTTCTTTATATAGTAACAGCAGTGACCTGTTTACCCCAAAAAACTTTCAGACATTCTAGGATGCTCTTGTAGACACAGCAATACTACAGTATCACGATTTGCAATAGAAATGCTATAGAAGTGATTTGAAGAGGGAGGAGAGTAGTTTTACTGTACATACAATATTATTTGATAACTAAAGTATAATATTATTATTTGATTGTCCTGTAATAGCTGTCTGTGCTCACTTAAAAAATAACATCTGATTTTCAGTAACTGTTTATATCTTAACCTTTTAAGAAGTTTATAAGAACAAAGACCTTTTCAAATTAAAGAGTTGAACTTGCATTATAGTTTTCTTGTTGACGTGGATGGATTTATCATTAAAAACAGGAAGTCAACATGCTACAACTGATGACCATCTTCAAGTTTTGGACATTAATTGGGAGTAACGCTGGCAAATCTGAACCTAATCATGGAGCTAATAACTGGTGCTTCCTTGTTTTAAATGTGCCTGTTAACCTTATTAGATGTGTATGTTGCCCTTTGAGAGTGGGCAATGTTTAAGAAAGGTGGTTCCCAGATTTGGTGCCAGGATCTCCTTTGATATAATTTTACTTTTATCTTGACATTTTAGGTCAGGATTGTATATGTGCATGTGACTTGAATATGGGGGGAAAACAGAGTAGGAAAGAACAGGGGCAATAAACTTCAACAGAATATAAGCATTAACCTGCTAGCTACCTGTCTGCCCTGTGTCCTGAAGTAAGACACTTCACACCTTATGGCTCTCCTTACACAGGTGTATATGTAAACTAGCTGAACTTGGTTGCAATGGAGGGAATAGCACTTTGGCTTCAAGTAGTACAAAAAGGGAGGAAGTAGAGGGGGTTTAAGCAACGTTTTTAAACATTTATCTCTAGGTATTGCCAGAAAACTGTTGATAAACAGTAGTATGAATTGAAACTAGCAAGGTGTGATAGACTAGGCTCTTTTTAATCCAGGGAGAATAGGAAAACTCAGTTGCTTCATAGTACAGAAAATAGGGATATTCACCAGCCTTTCTAGACCCACATGGGTTGACCTGCCACAGGTAGCAAACTTTTGTAAGATATGAATAGATTTCCTCATCAGACATCACACTCATGGAGGAAAGGGTTACACATTTGTCAAAATATTGATGCTGAAAGATTAAAGTGAGAAAATAACCTGATAGAATCTCACCAACTATTATCACCTTGAGAATCATAAATCTTTGCCTTTTGACAACATTTTGTGAGAATAAGATAAATGATAAGATCAAGGGAGTTACCAAAATATGTGCAACAGGACATTAAAAAACATGCTTTATCACTGAGTGTTATCTGACACTGTGCTAATAATTGAAGTAGTTTTATTTGCACTCTTGCCCTTAATGAAAGTAATTTTTTAAATCATATATCTGAATGGAAGATAGCGGTATCACCAGAGCGTGAATTTGGAATACCCATCAGGTCACAGTGTAGCTATACATCTCATTGCAGCAGTTGAGATGTTGGTGGTCCCACCTGAACACAATGGGTGAGATATGATTGGTCTGGTGGGACTGATAAAGATCTAAGATAATTGAGTGGTTGTGGATTTTAATCGGAAGAGACAAGTGACATAATTGAAGGAGGTTGGGCAGAAAATTAGGACTTAACTGCCCAATTTAGATAAAATCCATCTGATAAACCCTCCAATTTCCCATATGTGTTAGCCATATGGCAGCTCAGCATGACAGGCATTCCAAGATAGAGATGTCTGAACTGAAACATTTTATACACTATAGACCTGTAATTAGGTCGTTGGATGTGTTGATTTTATTCAGAAATTTTTAATTTTTTCTGTCTGAAAGTAATTATCTGAATGTCTAGAACTTGCTTCAAAAATAGAAATTAGAATAAAATTACTAGGTATTTTTTACTTTACAGCTAGGTACCTGTTGTGTGTGTGTGTGGGCATTACGAGAATGCCAAAAATTACAATTTAAATCAGGCAACATAAGGTCTGTGTTTATGTGTGGATTGAGGATGTCTTCCAGACAAATTGATGAAGCAGTAGGTTGTTTAGCAAGGGTGTGACTATTGCCTTGGTAGACAGCTTGATTAATGCCATTGCTCCACTAAGGTGCTATGTTACATAAGTGGAAGTTTGCCAGCTTTTAATAAACAAGAGACCTGTCTTATTGCCTGAGTTTTTTTTTTTACCTTTTTGTCCTTTCGCATATTTGTCTACAGTAAATATTTAATTCTTTCAAATTTCTCAAATTTAGAGAGACTTTCTTTAAGTTTTTTTCTATTTGGTAAATATAAAAGAGACACAATTTTTTGATGTGCCAAACTCATGCAATTTTATAATTTGTTCATAAATTTCTGAGTTCATTCATAATGAGATGCGAATCTATATATATTCAATATAGATACTGGTACGTCAATCAGTTATTTGCACATATTTTAGTAGGCAAATGTTATTGAGTTTGTTTTTTTTTTTTCAGATTTTGTTGTTTATATCATCTTTTATCAGTATGCTTTATTATTTACAGGGAGCTGTGCAAGAACTCAAGATCCACCCTGATCACCGGGAGGCAGAGGACCAGTGCCAAGAAAATGTAAGCAGCCTCCATAGCAACAGATTGGCTTAATTCAATGATTTCTTGTTTCTTTAAACTATTGTCAGATTATACAGTGTCATTATACATATTTTGTATACTATGCATGCTTGTTAAAACATAAAAAATTAAGTGTTAAGCTTTTTTTTAACTGCACAATTTTTAAAAATTTTCATCATTATCTTAAGTTAGGTTTAGTATAAGATATCATTGTGCTTAGGTGGTTTGTATCTGAAAACAAGACAAAAGTAAATATAATGACCAAGCCTGACTCTTCTCACTAGTCCAGTCAGACAAATAAGCTCATTTTTTTCTTACTAAACATGTATACACTATACTTATATAATTAAAGAAGTCAGTTGGGCAACAATAGGGTTTTCAAATACATTTTACTATTTGCACTTTAATATATTCTTTAATATTTTATCATTTTCCAAAAAATAAAGCTGTCTTTAAATTTATCTTGTTGTCTCTCTGCAATGAATCAATCAGTCTTGAGTTCCCACACTCACTGATATTAGCAATAAAGTACAATTATTTTTCAATTCTCCAATTTCTTCTTAAAATAAGCAGAAGACTGATTGCCCATTTAAATGAATAAAAGTTTGAAGGTCCTGTTAACTTGTCATTTTTGAGACCACCACTGCTTTTCATCAGATACAAAAGATGCTGCACCCTCTTTACCTGTGGAAGAAACAATTTAATTTCAAGTGTTGAGGAGATCCTCAGCAGAGCACAATCAAAATAAATAATGTTTGGATTTACTCAGATTAACATTTAATTCTACTTTTTGTCTGTTTCAGTTTATAGGCAGTGGATCTAATCCCTCAGACAGTGGGGAAGACTTTACGATAGCAAGTCATTTATTTTCTGATTTCAATGGGGTATGTAACGTTTCAAGCTACTGCCTGTTAAAGATTCTTGATTAATCAGATCGGCACACACATAGACACATACACACCTGTTACAATCACTTAATTCTAAAGTATCTTCAGATGGGGCAGATATATCATGCTGATATTGACAGTATGAATATCACACTCTGGTGACAAATTCCTGAACTCCTTCCATCTTGTTAAAATGGTAATTTATGGGGCTGCAAACATGTGCTCAGCGATGAGTGCCAACCTGTGGAAAAGGTAACCATGCTCTTAGCCATAAGGTGCCATATATTGACAAGATCAAATCTGGTGTTCTTTGAAGTTTTTGCATGCCCCAAATCTGAAGCCCGCCTCTCATCAATTACCCAGGTAAAAGAGGGTAATGAACCATTTTACACAGTAGATTCAATTGTTGTGAGTAAGGGGGGAACTTGGCTAACAAAAAGGAGACAGTCATTACAGCAGATAAAGGAAATGGGGTTCTGTCTATTGTGTTGTCTGGACAACCCCAGTAAGTCCACATTATTTGGAAGTGCTTTAGTTAATTAGATGGAGAGTTAGGGTCTGTAATCCCCAAGTCAGAGAGCAGAGGGCAGTAGGATCACAGATGGATATGAGACATTGCCCGCGGGGAATTTTTTTGTGGCAAAACCTGAGTCAAACTGGGGAATGAAGTATCAGAACTTTGTATTTTATTCCTGGGTGGCAGCATTTGTAAGTTGAGAAAGGTGATGATGGTAGTTTCTTAGGTTCTTAATGCTTAAAGCAGGGAAATTGAGGTATTGAATTGCGCTCTTTATGATTTAACAAGACAGATGTATTTCAGTCAAACCTTAGGAGGCTCCCGGTCATTATCAAATGTAGTTTCATTGTTGGACTACACTGTACAAATGGGTGAGGGATGTGCTGTTATATAGCACAACACCAGTTTCACTGTTAACTTGTGGCTAGTTTATAGAACTTTGCTATCATTCTGCTCATTATCATTACTATTTGTGGTTTCAGGTGACACAACCATCCACAGGGGTAACTGACAGCAGTGGGAATAGTAAAGGAGAAGTGGGTAATATTGGACTGCTGATACCTCCCCCAATCACCCCACCCCCTCCAGAATACCCCTACTATAAAGGTATTACTAAGATGTTCAAGAAAAATACCTGTTGTTTTGTAAAATGATTTAAATATTATTTTATTTTTTATAACCTGATAAGTTGAACAAACTATTGTTATTCTGCAACTTGTAAAATTAAATAGCTTGTTTTCTCATGTTATGTAATATAAGACATGTTTTATTTGAATCCATAAAAATATACCAAGCAAGTATATTTTACCCCAAAAGATTAAAACATATTATTAGTTTTACACATTTCTAACATGGAATGATATTTTGTACTTATTCCTATCTGTATACTAATGTATAACCAACCAAACAAATTACACATTTTTTCATTCATTATTTTACAAATAAGGTGACAAGGGTGAAAAGGGAGATACGGGTCCAGCTGGCCCAAAGGGTGACCGAGGTTTAACTGGACAGCAAGGCTACTCAGGACTCAGTGGCAGTAAAGGAGAGAAGGGGGATAGAGGAAGCAAGGGTGACCAGGGTCCACCCGGCCCCCCTGGACCTGGAGTGGACAGTGCTGTGGTGCCGCCCCCTGTAGTGGTAGGACCAGGTGGACGGGTGGTGAATGCCAGCACTTCACCACTGATTATACGGGGGAGAGGTGGGCCATTAACTTATTATTATTATTATTATTATTATTATTATTATTATATTGAAATGTGAAGTGCAGTAACTCTGATTTAAAGAAATTATTACTTTTAAAAAGTTGCCATTTCTTTCTTGCAGTAAAATATGTGCAATATTTCATCATATGTATTGGACTCTGCGGATTTATCATAAGTCTAAGTAGACTTAAATACACTGTTTACATGGTATTTTTAGGTCCTAAAGGCCAGAAAGGTTCCCAGGGAGAGGCTGGTTTCCCTGGGCTGGATGGTCTGCCAGGGTTTCCTGGGCAGACTGGACCTAAGGGAACTAAGGGAGATGTAGGTGCACAGGGTTTGCCAGGGATTAAGGGGAGTAAGGTATGCCTTTCTAAGTGATTTTATTCTAGATTTTATTTTTTTGTTTTGTTTTTGTATTCAGTATAGTGCTTAAAATGTGAATAGAAGTGCATGGTGGAGGTATAAGCTTTAAAGTTTTTAATGTTATGAATTTAATATGCTTTTAAAATTTTGGAGTAGTTTATATCCACTAGAAAATAATGCAATCGACTAATTTTTTTAATCTGATTTTAAAACCGCTAGGTTGTTCCCATAACACTTTGCATTAGCCATGATGGGTTTTGCTTCCTATTTTCTCTATATTCCAGGGAGAGCCTGGTGTGTTTGTGGGTCCACTCCTTAACTCTGGGGAGGGAGTGACAGGTCCCAAGGGGGACAAGGGAGACAAGGGGGACAGGGGTGAGATAGGAATGATAGGATTGGATGGTTTACCTGGAGCCAAGGGAGACAAGGTCAGTATAAGAACTTGCATGATAGTGGACACTGTAGTCATTAATTGTTTTAAAGATTTGGGAGTAAAAGAAAACAGACAGGATAAAGTCATTGATCAGTGGCTTTTACTGTAGGCTTATTCACAACTTATTTAGTAGGATCCAGGAAAACCAAGTTTAAAAAACATCAATCAAATTAAAAAAATAGAATTTATAATAATGATAACTGGAAAAGCACCTCCCCAAGGTAATTCAGTTCACATTATTATTAATTAATTATTGATCAAATCATAGATATAGAGTCAAGTTCTGTATGAGCATCAGCAAGAGGTGTCCAAGGCCAATATTGTGGAGGGTGGCAGAGTATTATTTGACATATATACTGAGAGAAAGTGTTTGCATTTCGCCGAAAATCGTTTTTCCAGGGTGACAGTATTGTTGGTCCTAAAGGTGAACCTGGCCGAGATGGCACCACTGGTCCCCAAGGCCCACCAGGGAACACTGTCTTTATAGAGGGCTCTGGTGACAATGAGGGGCCAACTGGGCCAAAAGGAGAGCCAGGCTTGGATGGCAGAGAGGGCCCAGTAGGGCCAAAGGGACAGAAAGGTAAAGAATGAGCTTTTTATCCATTCATAATGCTTTTATTGTTTCAAGATTGAAATTCAATTGTCTAAGTATTGTTTGTAATTATTCTAGCAAATTCATTTTTTTTGCCATTACCTTTATAATAGCAATGATTTTATGTGAATTGAGTAAAAATTTAGATACATTTTCTTGGAGAAGAATGTGTTTTGGCAGGGTGCCTCAAAATATTGTTATATGTTGCTATAAAATGCTGTAAGTGCTGTTACATGTGTTTGGGTTCCCAACAGAGTGTATATAGTCTTGATTAATATCGTAGAGAATAGAATGGCACCAAACACAGTGGGAATTGATCCTAAAATGTGTAGAATATATCAAAATGTTTGCAGTTGGCAATCCCTATCACAATGTGGTAAGACTAGTCCTTCTATTTACCCTCTGTCACGTAGTATGATGTGTTAAATTAGGAACTTCACCCAGTGTGCTCTACTCTGGGTGCCCTGTCAATAGGTGGCACTAGTTGCAGTTGTAAAAGGGGCCTTGGAGATAAATGACTTCACCCAGTTGGTGTGCTCTACCCTGGGTGCCTTGTCAATAGGTGGCACTAGTAGATGCAGTGGTGAAAAATGCCTGGCAGATCTAGGTGTCCTTAGCAGGACTTTGTTGTATGGGTGTTGATAATGATTTTGCTGTGGGATAAAGATATATGCCACCAAATTTCAAGATGCAATAATCATTGTTTGAATAAGGATGAATATTTAGACAAGATAAAGGAATGAAATGATTGATAGAATTTACACCAAATCATACCTACAAAGGAAATACCAGTCTTACTGTTGTCAGGTGTGGTTTGAAGATGAAAATTTAAAGCTCTTTCAGTCATGATAGTTTAGTTTCTCTGGCTTATCTTATTTTTTCTCTTTGTCGCAAAATATCTATTATTTTTCATTGAGTGGTACTGAAAAAAAATGTTTTTATTGAAACCACCGCGTTGAATTTTCATCTGAGTACCAAACAGGAAATGAAAATTGGAAGGATCTTTACAATAAATTTAATTTTGAATGCCATCAAGGTTTCTGATACTTGGGCACAGTGTCATTTAAGATTCCTTCAATTTACTGTAGTGAAAGAAGCCTTTGTTCAAATGTCTTCGATAAAATTTGGTTAAGTGTGACCGTTCTATAGAGCTCCCTAGTTGACAAGGAGTGTGTCTTTACTCATGAAGATGAAATTTCAGTCTGTTCTCCACAGTCTTTAAGGAAATCCAGACTGCACAGCATGGGAGGCTGCAGCTTGTGAATCAGGTGTTACATTGAAGAAAACTACTGTTTGCACTTTGGATTACTAAAATACTGAGCTGTAACAAACCACGTCTTCACAAGTATAAATCCAGCTGCTTACAGATTCATGCTGATTTTATTGGCAGAGACTTTTTTTGTTTTTAAAAGTTTAACTTTGTCTGCAGATTCATGCTGAGTTTTGTGCACGTGCATTTTGTCAGTTTGATTTTAAAACATACTTCTAAAAGTGGTGGTTGGGGAGGTTTAAAGCTATTATCTTGAATTGATATTTTACCATTAAAATCTTTGCTTGTGTCTTACTGTTCTGACTTGATTTTATTATGCATGTCAACTGGGTTACTAAAGCCATGTGGTTAACCTTGTGTCCAAAATGTTTCAAAAATCATTTATGCCATGATGACTCCACACTCCCATTATCATTCAACTCAGATTAAAGAGTAAGCTGTGAATTAAACATTTGTGAACTTTTTCTTTTGTTTTTGGTGGGTTATAAAAACAGTTAGTTGTTTTCTAGACATGTGCCTTGTGGCCCCTAGGTCTTCTTGCTTCCAGCAACCATAGAAATTGTATGGGAATGGACACAAGCTGGGAACACTAAATTTCTTGAAAATTGCAAACTTTACAGTTTTCATTGAGAAAATAGGTGAATTATTTTGCCTCAGAAAGAACTGTAAAATTATACTCCCATAAAATCTCTTGATGAATTGATTGATATTTAATTGTATCAGATTTATGTAAGATAAAATTTACCAAAAGTAAAGATAATTAAATTGTGCAAACAGCCTGAAGTATGAGCCCTTTATTTGGCCAGACTTGTTGACCCATTCTCATGTTCAAGTGACCTCATCTAGACAGTTATTTCAGTCCTTGGGCCAGAAGCATGTCAGGCCTCTAGTCAAACAAGGAAGATCTCCTAATGACTCCTTCTGGTGTGAAGACTTCCGATTGTTGAACATTGGAAGACCAAGAGTTAAGTTCTAAAGAAATGAAAGACTTGAGCAGGCAAATTATGTACAATAGAGAGCACGTGCTTTAGAAATTTAGTTTATAAAAATTAATTTTTTTATGAGAATTTGAAATTCACTTTCAGCATTTGCAAACTGGAAGGGGTTTGAAAAACAAACATGTTTATTTTGAGCATTTTTTTCATAGCAGAGGGAAATGGTAATTGACAAAATATTGAGTGGACAGGCTTGAAAGGACCAAGGATACCTATAGTGAACATCAAGTTTTTTAACATGCCATATTTTGAGTTTCTGAAGCTTTCACTTGAGTCGAGTCTTTGATGTGACCTTTTTACATAAATATAGACACAAAAGGAACACAGTGGTCATTCCATATAAAGTTTTAAAAAATAAAAACTCTGCATTGTATCTCAGATCTTAAAGCAAACAAAGTTACTCTGTCTCTGGTATCTTTTTTTGAATATTTTTTTTCACTGCAGGTTATAAAAGAAAAAGAGAGAAAGAAAGAAATTGGCCATTTTCCAAACACATGGTATTTCCTCTTCCAGTGTGATACCACTGGGCAGAAAGCAGTGATATTTGCACTGATGTAATTAAGAAGTTAACTTTGTTTTGGTGTTTTGGCAAGGAATGTGGGGCTGGATGCATGGCTAATTAACTGATAACCCAGTGTGTAGTGTGATTTCATTAGTGATTTAATTTTAAATATCATGTTACTAAACAGTTAAGTTATGTTGACCACTGATACCTTATTAGGCATATAGGATATAAGGGACCAGTTTAAGTATTCCAGTTTGTTTCTTCACCACCACTCCCCCCCCCCCTCCCCCTGTCTGTATCTGTGGTCAAAGATCATAGGAAAATATCTTTCAAGGTACTTTTTCATCCCAACGCCTTTGGCTTTAATATATGTCTCATAAATCAAGCAGCAATGTTAATTCCTAGGAAAAAAAATAGTTCTTACTGTACCTCTTAAATCATTTTAATAAAGATGCATTTGAAAGGCAAAGAAAATCATTATAAGTGTTTGCCATTGATTTTTATTTTTAGAAAAAAAAATCTTATTTTAATAGATTTATTAGTTCCATAGACTGAAAAAATTCAACAAAGTCAAATTTTTTTGAAACACAAAATAATTTAATCAGGAAGTTTTTTTTAAAAATAGTGCAAATACATAGTGACATATTATATCTGTTAAAAAGTTGAAAGGGGCTTTTTAAACAGCAGCAAGCCTCGTCAGCATACCCATAAAAGTTGTTATTGAAATAACATTTGCCCTGAATCAAACATAAAGCATGACAAATGCCATTTTGATTCAAGAAAAACTTCTTTTTTAGACTTTCAAACATTGAAGTGATTAAAAATGAAACTTGCTGTAGGTACCAAGTTCTCCTGAAGGGTTTCACAAGAATGTAAATATAGCAAAAACCAACTTGTTATTTCACTTTCATCAAAACGTTTTTAAAAATGAACTCATGAATAAAATTCAATTTCCTGTAAATTCCATTTGAGTCATACATGAAAACCCAGTTAAACACAGTCTGCAGGTTTTTCTTTTTTCAAATCCTGTCTGGTGCTCTCTAGTCACAGTGTTAAAACAGCCGAAAGCGCTCCTTTTGTTACCCCATTTATGATTTCCAAACAGCCATTGTTACCTTATTATTATGCTCTTCCACTGAGGTGGGGTGTATTTACTTTTTTTTAATGGTTCTAAAGGAATGTCAAAAGGTTGACCTGGATTAACCTGAAGAAGTAAATTGTGAACATTTTGGAAGTATACTTAGATAGATGCTCCAAAGGTTTGATGACCTTATCTTCCATAGCCTTTAGGAAAATCAGAGGTTGATTTCCAAATGGAAAAGGCTAGTCCAAGCAGCTTAATCATGATCCTGCTGCAGAATGAAGTTGATGATGATGATTATTAATATTATTATTATTATTATTATTATTATTTGGTTTCCTGATAAATTTGAAATCATGATTGATTCTGTGTTTGTTATTGCTTAATAGCTGCATTCTTTTCTCAGTGACATTCTGTTAAAAATCATTTTCACAACCAAATGTATCATTCTGTGTACTTGTATCTTTGAGGCACCCAGATATCTAATATCCAGATTCAGCCAAATGTTGAGAAAACATTTTGGTCATTTCATGATGTTATGATTGATGTCTCACTGAGTCGTAAGTCAGGAACTGTGTGGGGTCTGCTTCTAGAAAGATGACTGTAGCCCAGGTAAAGCTGCAGCAAATAATCCAACTAATGTTCTTCTTGACCCCAGGTTTGACCAGCCAATGGTGCTTGCACCCTTAATTGTGCTGACAGTTTTATGCAGTGTTAAATAGTTTTACCTTCATTAAATGGGCTGCAAAGGTATGTCTTCGTACCTATTTTCCATAATGCCTCGTTAAAAGTTTCCCTCTTACAAATGCCATAGCCTGGCTCTTTACCCGTTTGAAATTGTCTGTAAAATTATATACCAGGGCATACTGTGTTACTAGTGACCCACAGAAAATAAAACTTAAAAAAAAAAAACAACTAATTTTGTCCTGTTTTTTTTAAAAACCAGGGTACCCTTATTCACAGTGGTATGACCATTTCTATTCTTTGTCCTCCAGAAAATAAATGGGAGGAAAAGAAATTCAGTCTGGAGCACTTTGAAGTAAGAATGTAGCATATTTATTTTCTCTTAGACATAAAAAAAGTTTTAGATAAACAGAGAAAATATTAGCTGATTTGAAAGCCATATACTATGAAGTCTTAATAGGCAGAGAATTCCAAGAGCTCTTAACTTGTAGTTGAATCAGCTCAGCATGTTTACTGGGGGGTTTCTTGCTTTCAGATAATGGGCTGGCTCTAACTCCCTTAAACTTGGGTCACACCATTATGTTGTTGGTTTTGAGACCTGAGCCCCTTTTAGAATAAGTTTGTTTTTGTCATATGTAGTTTGACCAAGCTCTTACCTAAGTTTGCTTTTCCTGTAATCCTAATTAAGGGATTATTGTTTCCTCTTTATTAAAGTGTAATTAGCATTTGAAGTCACATTGTGATGTTCTGGCCCACCCTCCTCAGGGGATTGCAGGTATTTGGTTTTCACCATGTATTTGTTCAGGGGCCTCTTCACTTAAAAACAGGAAAATCAAGTCTACTTGAGACGCAATGTGTGAATCAATTTTATATCCTGCTTTTAATTTCCACCTCTCTCTTTTTTCCTCTTTTTCCTGCCAGTAACTTTTTCTAAGAAGTTTTGATTATTTGTTACTTTCTGTGTCTGTGAAACACACTCAGTCACTCCATTCAGTGTACTGTATTTAAGTAAAGTAGATTGAACTTGTTGTGAACTAGGCCCCAGGTGTAGCCAAGGTTCTGCCCACATATTGCCTTACAGACCTACAGATTAAATACATAAATATCACCTCTGTGTTTGATAACACTGGGCATAAATGATGTACAGTTGTGCAAAAAGAAAACTTTCATCCACATTCTCCTGTTTGATATCCCAGTGGTTAAAAGGTGCCTGTCTGGGTATCTGTGAAGCTTATTTCATAGTACAGAACAACATTTGTTTCTGATAAAGGTGTTCATGAATGAGTGTTAGATATATGCTTAGCAACTTCCAGAGAAACCATGTGGTGAACTGCCAAAAATCAGAATCATTTTTCGCAACAAGGTTCAAATAAGTCCCAAACTTTCAAACATCAGGTTATTTTAGTACACTCATGTTTCCTTTTTATTTCATGTTTTATTTTTACCTTTTGATTTTGCAGAATAAATTCAGCTGTATTTTGTATTTCGGTATCCATAAACCATCAGAATTTTTTAGAGGGATCTCAGCTAGTCCTTGAGAGCCTTTTGCCAACATATTTATACAAGGGCGGGGTTGTGGTCTAGCAGATCCATACCAGGTGGTCTATTTGAAGATATAAGTTAATATTTTACAAAGGAATCTCAAACAGAATTTTATGCCAGGAAGGGGCAATCAGTCATAGTTCTGTCTCTGAACGAGGAGTCCAGAACTCATCAGGTCAGATATCAAAGACTTCTGTCCCTGTATAACCCCATGTATTTTTATGTCCCACAAGATATTAAAGAAACATATCCCAAAACACCAAGAATAGTAAACTGGCTAGCTATTTAGACTAAGGCTTCGTTCACATGCAATGTCTATTTTCTAAATTCTATTTTCTATTTGCGCTATCTTATGATCACGGTCTGTGCCCTAAATATCCCGCCGCGTAATTACTGGCAGCGCGTGCCAGTTACTTATAGTAACTTATAGTAACTGGCTCGCGCTGCCAGTAATTACGCGGCGGGATATCCAGGGCACAGACCGTGATCATAAGACATGCCGCAAATAGAAAATAGAATTTAGAAAATAGACATTGCATGTGAACGAAGCCTTATTTTATTCTTAAGTATAAACATTTCACATGGAATATAATTAACCTATAACAATGTTTATGCTATCTTTACTTTTTCATGGAAAATGTTGATAATGTGAAGAGATTTGTAAAATTTTTCTCTTCTATTTTTTTTTTCAAGAAAGAGAAATACTTTAAACCTGTTCCTTTCAATGCTGTGAGTTGCTGGGTGGCACCAGAAGAATTTTAGTTTTCCTCTGAAGTCTTCTCCAAGCCAAAGTCCTGAACTCTGTCAGATTTGTCAGATTAACTAGCCAAAACAATCTTGATATTGTAATACATGTTTCTGCTTACACCAACAGTGCAGTGAATTTCTCCTGCTTTTATCTTCCATTCATTTATTGTTTGTTAAAATTGGTACCCATTGAGAATCTGTTTGCCATGTGTATCTGCTATTACCTCATACCTACAGAACCTCCCCATAAAGTGTTTTGTTTAAATAGGGTCCATTAAGGAAATGTTATTGGAAATGGCGCAATGTGCTGATGTTCTTTATGATTTCAGCTTTATGACAAACTGTGGAGTCAGTGAGGTCTGTATATTTTACTTTCTCCCCAGAGGGAGAAGGTGGAACAATCTTATTATATTAATTTATGGATAAAATATGATTTCCATTGATAATCCTACAAATAAGTTTCACCCAAAATTTATGACAGCCAAAATTTAGAAATGTCACTCGGTGGATAAATTTCCAGCAAACAAATCCATGTAATGGTAAGACTGTCAGGATGCCCTGTCCTACCAGAACACCCCCCAAGTGGAAGAGTTTATTTTCATAATAAAGTGGAATTGTGTTGAGGGGCTAGAATAACAGAAGCCGTTTCCCAGTGTGCAAGGGGATGAGAAGCATGTGTTCTGCACAGATACCCTCTGACACACATGATGACACTGCAAGAACGGATTAATTGAATCAGAACAAGTGTGGGGGGAGTGAGCCAGCCAGCAGACAACGGATACCTGTTCTTTGATTAATTCTGAAAGAAAAAAATAATAACAACAGCAAAACTTGGCAGCTTTGATATCAGAAACTGTTGTGACCAGAGGAGGTGGGACCCACTTAGGTCACATGCAGTGATACTCCTGCACTGGTGAAAACCTGGGATAGGATAGTGTAGTTAGTGCAGTATTGGATGACATGATGCCAGTGAAGGGGTATATTGTGATTTTGATCTGTTTCCTTGTTTCCTCTGTGGCAGGTGAGAGGGGAGAGGTGATCCAGGACAATACTGTCATTGTGGGACCCCCTGGCAGGGATGGAGTCAATGGGAGCCGAGGTCCACCTGGATTGCCTGTAAGTATACCATAATTTATTGTCATGATGTTTTTCTTTTCTTTTTTTTCGATATTTTTTAATTTTCATTCTAAGGAAAATACTGAACACTTGAAGAAATAGAATGTTGAAGATAGTTTTAAGTCGGTCTTAATAGTTTCTGATGGAAAATATAAAAGATAATCATCCATAACTGTGAACTATTTAAACTCTTAGACTAAGTTTACCAGTTAGTATAAACATTTCACAGTGGAATAGAACTCACCTGCTGCTGAAGTTTCATATAACCGTTTTGCCTTTTTTTTTTACCATAACAGTACTCAACTTCTTATTTAGATAATTGGTTGCAACAGAGTTGTGCAAATGTTTAAGATTTCATTCTGGTTCCACAATTTTGTGATAAGCGCTCTTAAACTCTGACTCAGACAAGTTATTTTCCATTTGTTGTGCACTTTAGTTACTTGAGAGCTTTTCTCCTTTGATTTTTCCATTTTTCTCTAATCTTTGGGTTTGACTTTAAAGAAGACCTTTGAATTTTTAAATTTTGTTACAAAATTGAATTAAACTGTTTTGGAGTCAGTTCTGTTGTTTGGTTATGGTAATGAAAGTTAACTAGAAGGTCTATGTGTACCACACATATATCCTTATTTCTCCTCTCTAAGAAGGGAGTAATAAAATGTGTGGGCAAGTTTGAGAGATGTGATCTGTATCCATCAGTTCCACTTGAAAGGCTACAGTAGCCAGGGTTAACTAGCTGTTTTTTCCTAGTACAGAATGTGAAGTTTGTAGGGAAGGGGCCAGTCAACCGCAACACCTATTCTCTGAAATTTATTTCTTCCATGTGTGGTGGAAGTTGAGTCCAGTACCATAAAAGTCTAATAACATTAATAAGTAGCTTGCAAACAAACTAATTTCTAAGACAGAAAGAGGTAAATGAATGGGAAACGGCCTGGCTTCATGCTGGCTTTCAGAGGAACTGAATTATGAAAATTGGTAAATACAAAGAAGTCTTTTTCAACATTCATAAGTTAAGTGATGTGGGTAACACTTGAACAACCCATAGCAAATAGTCATAATGCACCACAGTGGAGGTTTAAGTTGCATCAGTATAATTACCATCAAGGGGTACACATGTTTATTTCCTGCTTTGTTACATTGAGGAATGGGAAAATGAAGAGGTGTCTAACTTTTTGGCAGTTTTCTGTACAGTTTGGAAGTCCAAACTGTCAATCGTGGGACACACATAGCAAAACAATGACAATATAGGAAATATTATATCACAGGCAAAGGCTGTACACTGGCTGATGGCTCTGCAAACACCTATAAAATGATCTATTAAATTTGTGTTTGTAAACCCCATTTTAAAGGCCAGACTGCTACATTGTTGTAATGTTTATTGCGGCAAGAATTTATGTTTTCTTAGTTTAACCTCCTATTTGAAGCAGTTGACTCCCCCAGGCAGGGACTATGAAAGGAAACAAAGCCGAATACCCTGCAGTTTTAAATACTAGGACCAACATGTTATCAAGATTTGTTAACTTGGGGTAATAAAATAGCCTCATAGGCTGAGATATCATGTTATTAAAATGGGATATTTTATGGAATAATAGTGCATTTTTTTCTGACAGGTGAAAAAAGCAAAATTAAAATTTAAAAGGAAATGTTTGGTTTTTGATGTGTCAGACATACTGAATGTGTCTTGCTGCTCAGTTAAAGATTTTGTAAAATTTACCTGTCAGATCATCTGAACAGGTAAGTATTGTTCCACACAACATATCTCAAGTTTAGGTGTAATGTGTACTAGTAGGCTGGACATAAGAAGATTTAGACTTGTTGAGCTATTGCAGACAGTCTTCTTATCTTTAATACTCCCTGGTTTGTTTCATTCTCTGTCTATAACTGACCTTGTTTAAATCCAAACAAGTTTCTGATCTTTGACAAAACATCTAGTATTTCAAAATTATCAGAATATTTATGTAAGGCACATTTATCAGTATCCGAATCTAACAGTCAGCCAAAAGGAATTTCCAAAAAATGTATTAAATAATATTTACACACTTTTTCCTTCTCTGCACATGAAAAGTTCTTTTGAAATTTGTCTACCTTTCAATGAAAAATGTGATATTCTTCATCCTTTCAGCCAAAGCTTACCTCATGTATGCCATTTTTTCAATAAAACTTCACACTTTTTCTTACATGTTCATTTATAGTTAATTATTCAAGTGCTCAGTTGAATAGATAGGGAAGGGGAAAATCAGTTCATCCTTCAAGCCATGGCAATTATTTTGCCCAATTGCTTTTTTATTTGTATTTTATGTGAGGGTATTATTTTCCAAATTTTTAGTGTGTGTGTGTGTGGGGGGGGGGGGGGGGGAAGGAAGGGGGGAGGGGAGAAGAAGCACTACATACCTTACCCTCAGTTCCCAGGTGAGGTGTCCTGATCCCACTGCTAAATATGGCTGCCCCTGTCCCATTGCCACATACAATTGCCCCTGTTCCACCACCACACACAGTTCTCCCTGTCCCACCACCACTTACAACTTCCCGTCCCACCACCACCTACAGCCACCCCTGTCCCACCACCACCTACAGCCGCCCCTGTCCCACAACCACATACACCTGCCCCTGTCCCACCACCACCTACAGCTGCCCCTGTCCCACCACCGCCTATGGCTGCCCCTAGTTTACCACCTCAAAGCCGCTCCTGTCCCATTACCACATATGACTCTCCCTCTCCTACCACCACATACAGCTGCCTCTTTACTACCCTACAAGTCCTTCTTTGATACTGTTCATACTAGTGGTGTCATGTTTTACTTTAACACACAGAGGTGTCTACTTCTGCTGTAGACGGGACATTTGTTTAGCCCTGGTACGCCATTCTTGGCTGGCACTTTATTATTAGCCATTATTTACTCAGTGACATATTTGAACCTTATCAACAAAAGGTGTGAGATGCCCAAAAACCAAGTGTCTGATACAACATTTAATATGAAGTGTAACGATGAATTTTTTCCATCTTCTTATTAATGGCACCCCTTGTAAGGTCTTTACTAGCCGTCTGTACTTGATACAGTTGTACAGGGATAACAGTATGCCTATTGTCTTCTTTATTTTCTCTGAAGATCTGAATTTTTGCTGTTGGACATGTGAACTATTAGTATGTCTATACTATCCCTGTCTGCACAGTACCTCATCTCATATTAAATAGATTAGCCATAAAACAATGCATAGAAACAATAAAACTTTCCTGCACCCACCCATATTCAGATTTATGGCAATTGATTCTCAGTGGGATGAATATATGCTTGATGCATGAATGTAAGATAAACTTGGCAGTATTATGATTTTTATAATCTCCTGGAAAGAGTCTCAGTCATCCTAGGTGAGATGTTGGTATACAAAGCCAATAAGGCAGAAATGTCCAGAAAACATGGAAGGGAGAACACTGGTTTGATTTCCTTTGGCAGTTTTCATTTACCACAGGAGAAGGTTGTTTGGTTCCCTGACCAAACACACAGGGCATGCCTTTGAAGATTATTTGTAGATAGGAGTGCTTTTAAAATATTTCTCTAGATTGCCCTTATCCAGACCAGAGTAGTTCTTCATGTTTTAAGTCTTTTTACAGGTATTTCAGGGTAAAGCCCCAAAATCCTTTGCACCTGCAGTGGTTCATGTCAGATATGATTTTTCTTTGATAACTGTTCTTTGCTGGGGCAAACCATTAAATTTTTGTAGTATTTAAATCATTTTCAAAGAAAGTTAAATTTTAAAGTGATTGAAAGATTGCTCAGATGTTGACAGAACCATAGAGGGGTCTTTTTCATGAGTACTTCAGAGGGTTTGTCAGTCTAGAGTCAGAGAAACGTGGACTTTTGATGAACATTTCTCTAGCTTGTTGATACCATGTACTTTGGTGATCAAAAATTAATGCAGTAATGCTGTATTTGAGACTTTTGTTAGAAAAAATAAATGTAAAACATGATATTTATGATAAGAATGGTGTGCAGGGCTTCATATATTTTTGTATCATATATGAATATAAAATAAATTCAGTAATCAAGAATTAATAATAAATTTAGTAATGTAGACACATTATAATGAAAAGATTAATAATAGTTTCATTGGATCTCTAAATAATTGTGCTGAAAAATATATATGTGGAAAGAGAGTCATAAATTTAGATGAAGGGACACACCAACTTACGTAACATATAGTTTTAAAAATTACCAACTAGCTTAACATGTGAGGAAGTCTGGATGAGATCTAGACCAAACCAATTAATAAAACAAGAGGAAAGGCCTCAAAATCATTAACAGTTTTCAAGTTCATCTAGATTTGTGTGTATTATGACCGCCTGTGACTTATGGATCATAACTGCCTGTAACTTACGTATCATGACTGCTTCTATATGCATCATGACTGCCTGAAACCTGTGTATCATGACTGCCTGTAACATGTGTATCATGACACCTTGTGCCCTGTGTATCCTGACTGCCTGTGATATGTGTATCATGACTGCCTGTGAAATGTGTGTCATGACTGCCTGTGATATGTGTATCCTGACTGCCTGTGATATGTGTATCATGACTGCCTGTGAAATGTGTGTCATGACTGCCTGTGATATGTGTGTCATGACTGCCTGTGATATGTGTATCATGACTGCCTGTGAAATGTGTGTCATGACTGCCTGTGATCTATGCATCATGACTGCCTGTAACCTGTGCTATATCTTTATAGGGTCTTCCTGGCAGACCAGGTGAACATGGAGAGGCAGGACCCAGGGGCTTGAAGGGAGACAGAGTAAGTTTATTATTATTATTATTTTTATTATGAAATACAGTGTATGATGGTATGATATAATGGACAGACATTTTTGTGAAAATTGCATTTTTTTTAACAAGAATTATTTGTGTACATAAAATATTTTAGATTTGAAAAGAAAATAAAGTGCAATGTTATTCCTATCACCTGACATTTTTAAAGTATAACAATTAACAATACTATAGTGAAAAAGCCAAGGCAGATGAGAGAGGAAGTTAGTCACTCTTCTGGATGATCTCTTAACTTTATAGTATACAGTTTACCTCATAACTAGGCAGTGCTGGCTTATCTGCTTACCACCTTGAAACCTGGCAGAGGACAGACAGTTAATTGGATGCACATTAAATCAGAGCATTTTTTGGATGCCCAGACACCATAAACAAAATTCTTGATGGGGTTTTCAAATTCAGTGCTGGGTTGGTTTTTAAAAGAATTGCCAGTGCAAGTTCAAGCTGAAATTTTGTTTTTGATTATAATTTAAATATTGTAGTTAAAACATATGTGGCACTCAGCTGTACATATATTATATACTGAATGAAGATAGTTACAGGTAAGATGGGTGTAGCTGGTTTTTTTTAATGTAAATGTCATCAAATTTAAAACTAATTTATTAACATCACGAAGAAAAATTAATAAATGGAATTAAGGCTAGAATGACAATGATAAAGGCCAATACCCAGTATATATATATATATGTCTAAATTTCAGGGTGATATTGGGCCAGTTGGAGAGCAAGGTCTGCCTGGTCCTAAAGGAGACCGTGGTGAATTTGGGCCCCAGGGTCTTCCAGGAGCTCGAGGCCTGCCAGGGCCACCAGGACCTCCAGGAATTACCTTGGAATCTGTAAGTATTCCACTTCACAAATATGTTGTGATAAAATCTGGAACTTAGTGTTTGAATTTTGTGAATTGATATGGCAGCTAATTTACAAAACAATATAATGCATAGAATCAAAGGATATTTGAGGAGAGTCTTTGAAACTAGGAGTAGTTAGTAGGAAATGCCAATGATTTTGGCGGTGGACCAGATGTTAGCATGGCAACTGATTGAATGGAGTTGAAACAATTTTTCAGATGACTGAATTCAATTACACAACAGGCATTCCTAGTAAGAAAAAACTCTTGCGAAAAAAATTCAATGCACAACACCTGCTTTTTTATCAGTTTTTTCAAGCAATGTTCACGCAACATTTGGTTTTGCATATATCGTTGTTTCTTGTAAGTAAAACAACTGGAGGTATTAGCTACTAGCAGGCAACTTGTGTGGCATAAAGTAAAGTAATTTATAGAAAGGAAGAGTAAAGGAAGCATACAATCACTCCTCAGTCTGCCCCCTGTAAGTCACTGGAGCAGGTTGTACAACCATTTACTATTGTGTAAGATACACTTGAAGTTTTGTGAATGTAACAGGATGGTATGCCCCATTCAGTTTCCGCTTGACGCATACTTCCCATTATTACGTAGACTTAACCTTGGGTGTTTTTTTTTTACTCAAATAAAAGACCTGCTTTGTTACTACATGGTGAGACTGTGGCACTTGTACTTACAATATTTCTACAGATTGGACATCCTTCTAAACCTAGCCACAAGTTTTTTTAATCTGTCAAAAATATGCTTATGTTGCCACACATTTTAGTTTAAAAATGTCCTAAAACAAACTCATTGAAGGAAATGCCTTAGTTTGCACCATTGCTCTTTTGGGCCAGAGGAGTATGGACTGATTATTTGCAAAGAGACGTTTAAGGCTTGTAAGCCCAGCGTATTCCTCTAGTGATTTATCATAACCCCTTCCAGTGTCTCCCAGTCCTTGATCACAGAAGGATTGGATAACTGTCTTGATCTTTATAATTTTAAAAAGAATGCTAGGACCCATGGTTAAACTTAAACTACACCAGCTTTAATAATAATGCAGTATAAGAAATCTAGCTCCTTGTTTATTTAAAAAACAATACATTGGAATTGGAACAGTGCCAAGGATGACCCTTATTGTCCCTGAAATTCTTTATAAAAGTGTGAAATGGCCAACTTGAAAACCACACTGAAATTTTATATCTGGGAAAATGAAGTCTGTCCATCTTGTTCTGGTAACAATAACTTATCATGTTTGCTTTCTGTCTGTTGACTCACCTCTCTGCTGGTCTTATTCAAGTCTACTTGTCTTGTCTTATTCAGAGGGTCTTGTTGCCGTCAAAAAAAAAATGACAGGGCATTACTGTTCAGTTTGGATAAATAAAAATGTTATCTTTTACACATTTGATTTGGTTACTGGATTTAAGATTTGTAACTATTATATGGAATGTATCCATCTGTTTTTGAATAAATGTGGTTACTAAGTATTTATTATTAAGTATTTGAGAGAATCTTCAAATTATATTGTCTATTAAATAGGGATGTATTGAGATGCTACTAAAATGGTTATTTTTTCTTTAATTTATGTGCTCTTTTTCTTCTGTCCTCAATGGTCAACATTTTGCCATCACACAGATAAAGTTTTGCTACAATTTTTCCATTCTTGACTCTTTCAATCCTGAGGTTTTTTTCAACTGTTTTAAGTGAACCAAAGAGTAAAAAACATGGCATGCATTTCAACTCCAGATAATTTAAGGAGACATTTGCAGATAAATTTAGCTTGGCATTGCTTACCACAGCACAGTAGTTGGAGCAGACTCACTAGTAAGATTTACATCACTGATACTGTAAAAAGATTAATCATCATGGTGAATGTGTTATGAAGATTTTGTATTACCTGCCAACAGATTGTTCCCATTTAACCTCATTTTGATCAAAATTGTGCAGACGGGTCTCGAAAAAGTGAAAGTCTTAGTATGATGAGACACAAAGAATTATGTGAAATAATTCCGGTTTTGAAAAAGAAGCAGAATGGGTCATATATGATCAGCAGTCTGTTGTGCTGACTATGAAAGGAAGGCAAAGAGCATATGGTGCTTTGTTAGTCTAACCAACTGCTGAGACAACTATTTGAACAATTTGCTATTGCCAGGCACTTTGTGTGAACAAACTAGAAAGATGTTCCTATTAAACCTTATAGAAGTTTTTTCACTGTCTTATCCTCTAGTCTGTGGTCACCTCTTTTGTCCATGTACCTTTGGCCGTGTTGAGGCCAGCTTGATTGCTGAAAGATTTTTCATATTTTTCATTTTTTGTAAGGTATACAAAGTTATCCATCAAACAGATTTTTTTATTGTTCGAAATAGCTCGGTTATGCCAGAAATCAGTTTATGTGAGCTGCTATTGAATTGAAGGATAGGAGTCGTGAGCTGACTATACCTGAATACTTGTTTTGTTTTTACATATATATTTATTCCTCTTCAAAATAAGTGTAAAATTAAGTGTAAAGATAAATTTTTTGCTATGTTTTATAATTACGTCATAGACTAAGTGAAGATAGGGAGTCACCCAGATGACCCATTGTGAGTACTTCGATTGCGAACCGCGTGGAGGTACGCATAGAGCATAGTTCGAAATGACATTATTAAAGGTGGCTGGAATATAGCATCACTAAGGGCTACAAATAAATAATAACAATGAAAATTTATATGAAAGAAATAAGATGAGAGATGAAGAACAGGCTTAGAAAAGAAGATGACAGGGAGGGAGAAGGTGAATAAAATTAAGCATATGACTTGCCAATCTGCTTCTTTGTAGGTACACGAAAGTTGTCTAAGGTTTGGCTATCAGGTGTCGATCATTTTTGCCGAAGGCTGGATGCGATATGACCATTGTCGCTAAGATCATGATGCATAATTGTTGGGTCACAGGTTAATTGGGATGCATAATGATTGGTCAAAGTGATGCAACAAGTGCGATGGAGGCACAAATGGCTGTTATAACGGCGCCTGGATGGCTCCCCACTTATTATTTCGCGCCATGAATGGGATTGCGTCTAAGGCTGCAATCTTGTATATCTAGAGTAGCTGAAAATGAACTGATAATCAGTATGGCATGAGGTGGGTTATGCATTTGCTCTGGCCATTCGACAGTTAGCCCTTTTGATGGCCAAAGGTCCATCAGGTGACTATTACCACACATTTACCATGGGATAAGAGGGCTTGGTTAATTAGCCCTTCCAACAATTATGCGGCCAGCTCAAGATCCCTCTTCCTTCCAATAAATTTATAATATAAATATAATAATATTTTATCACTCATTGTAGTCACAAGTACCACTTGGCAGGAGCACAGTTTGTGGACTCTTTCAGAATACTCCTGTCAAACTGTGGCTGTTATTCCACCAATTTGATTTGGTTTGATAGTTTGTTACACACCTTTTGTGTGTTCTGTCAGATGGCAGGCATTGTGAGGGTACACTGTTTAGAATCCCCAGTCCAGTGCTTTGTATCATGACACCCAGTATATGTATCACTGGTCTGCCTTTTAAGCTCTAAATCAGTGTTTTTGGTTTCATTCAAAGAACAGTTAATCACTTTCTTTATAGGCCGACACTTAGTTTCTTTTTACCACAAAGTTGCTCTAAATTGGACTGTCACATTGAATTGTATTGAAAATTTCTATTTGTGAATGTCGGTGTATGTTACTTGCCAAAGCAATATTGGTATAAGATGCTCATTGAAAACAACTCTAAGTGAATATCTGCTCTTCTACTCCTATACAATAAGGTATCATAAAAATTATATTCAAAATTAAAATCAGTATAGTTTTATTTTTAATTATTCATTTATAAAACCAGTTATTCTTTTGGTAACCTTCAGGTTGGTTTGACATCTTCTGGTGATGGTGATTTTGGTAGTGGTAAACCTGGCCCCACTGGCCCCCGGGGGTTCCCTGGTAACCCCGGCACCCCAGGACTACAGGGAGAACCTGGACTTATGGGACAGAAGGGAGAAAGAGGAGAGAAAGGAGAACATGGGGTTAAAGGAGAAAGGGTAATTATATAATAGTGAAAATTAAGTTGGGACTGGCATCTAATAAAATCAACATGGGAAACAATTTAAAACTTTCAAGTTAAAACTAGTAAAATCTAATTACCAAAATGCATTGTCATTTAAGGTACAGTGTCTGGATGTTGAAAGAAAGAAAGTGAACTGCATTTAGTCCCAGCACTCCAATGATGTTGCACCCTTATTGTACTGACTTTTCCAGGGTTTCCAGGGGGCTGACGGGCCCCAGGGTTTCAAGGGAGATATGGGTGATCCAGGCCAGCCAGGTGTCCCAGGCACACCAGGCCTTGAAGGAGAACCTGGAGTGAAAGGAGAAAAGGTAAAACAACATGACACTTGCTCTTGGAGCTCTGCTGTCTGTTGACCACACTTAAGGCAGCAGTCTCTAATAAAAATCACTGTTTAATGGGGTGGATTAAACGTGATTAAAACTAATAAAAAGACCACAGGTAATTACAAAAACATTTTATTTCAACAGCTTTGACATAGGTGCAAAAGACACTGTAAAAAAATGTTTGAAAAATGAAGGTTTCAGGAAGTTACAGGGTGGGGGGGTATACTACAAAAGTACCGAATGTCCTATCTTTGCTGTCGATGAGGTACGTTTTTAGTTCTTTCATTGAAAAGTCATCAGGTACTTCTGCTAAATTTCTATTGCAACTGCTCCCATGAATGTGTTTTCGAAAAAAATCAGGTGTTAACATGTTACGAAACTTTGAAAATTCAGATTGAAATGAGCACTCCTTGATATGGCGTCCGTCGTGTACACTCCACACTTTCCCCCTGAAACTTCAAATCCCGCAAAATCTCGCGTTCCCACGGATAATTTAGCGGAAGTCACGTGACCGTGGAAAAGACTCTATTATTCTATAGTCAAATTTCTGTTTTAGGGTGAAAAAGGTGAGAAGGGTGTTGGTGAGCCTGGACCCATGGGTCTTATGGGTCCTCCTGGCCCCCCAGGACTCAGGGGATTACCTGGACTGGAGACCGAGTCCAGTGGAGATATAGGACTTGGTGAAAAGGGAGATCCAGTAAGTTTAATAGATTTGTAATAGGGAATCTTTTGAATTTCCGCATTCTTGTTGAAATTAATTGAAATTAATGTTATATTATTCATATTCATATTCATGAAGCATGTTATCCTGAAAGTGAAAATTAGGAGTGGCAAAGTGAGAATGATGTTATTAATAGTCAGAAGTATTACTGATATTTGTAAATAAATTTATTTATGATTATCAGCTTTAACTTAGAACAGAGTACATGTAAATCTGAATGTTTTTCCAGAGCCATCTTATAAATTAAACTACCTGTATTTCAAGTTGTTTTTGGGATGATTCCAGTATCTATCAGTAGTTTTTAAATTAGCAACTTTGTTGATATATGTAATCAACCCCTTGGTACATATTCCTAGGGTCCCCCAGGATTGCCAGGGATCATAGGCCCCCCAGGGTATCCAGGTCTAAAAGGAGAGCCAGGGTTACCAGGGCTGGACGGCAGGGATGGGAAGGATGGAAAGCCAGGACCTCCAGGTAGCCCAGGAATGCCGGGACTTGATGTAAGCACATTTATTTATTTATTTGTACAATTTTACATTCAGTTATTTTGGATCTGGTGTGAGTGTGCAGTATGTTATTAAAAAAGAAAAGTTGAATTAAATTTCACATTTTGTTTAGAGCAAATATCAGTTGTTGACAGTTCTCAAATGCTGACAATTCTCAAATGTAGTTTTTATGCTGCCAAATTATAATCTGCTTTCTTAAACATAATTCCTAACATCATAATTTAAAAAAAATTATTTGTAGCTTTTTTATCCACCTGAATGGCAAATATAGAAAACTGTTTCAGATTTGATTCCTGTGGCCATCACTCTTCCATGAGAAACTTGAATTTACTTTCTATTTTCCATTTTATATTGTGAATGTGTCTTATTATATTGATATTATTTAAATGATATCAGCTTAATTGATCAGCACACTTCTCTACTGTTCTGGACATAACTTTAGGGTAAGCCTGGTCTACCTGGACCCCCGGGAACCCCGGGACCAAGTGTCTCAGGGTTGTTTGCACCTCCAGGAGTACCCTTTGGTTTCCGTAGAAGAGCCCCTGGAGGGATAATAAAGGATATCAAGGTTCATGTGCATATATATTACCCATTTTAATGTATATGTGTGTGAGCTGAAGTCTTTACTTTTTCTGTGTGCTGTTAACAGTACTTGGCATACAACAATGCTTTGCATGCATGAAATTTAATTCTCCTATACCCGTTTATTTCAGCTCACATTGCAATAATACTAACACATTAGTCTAACTTCTTATGATTTTCTGTTTTCTTTATTTATCACCTTTCCTGATACATTCCATTACCCCCAATATCAAGGTTGGCAACATTAAGCTTTTGAAAATGTGTACATCTATTGTTGAACATGTTATTATACCATAATGTGTGTAGTTGTGAATAGTTAGTCATCTTGCAATGTCTTGCATATTTTTTTCTTTAAAATAAAGTTATTTGACAATGAGTTGTTTTTGAGGCGTTTCTGATGGAGAAGGACCATGCTGCCATGGTTCCCTTTGCTGTTTCTGTACTTTCTCTTGTATTGGGATTAAGAGGCACCATTCCTTTCCCCTGAAATGTGTCTTGATACTGAAGGACAATTTGATCAGTAGTGCAAACATATCTTACCACATATGTGCTAGCTAGCCAAGTTAGGAATAGCAATGCTAACCTAAATAAATTTTTTCTTAATTAGGATTTTGCTTATTTTGTAAACTTATATGGTGCAAGGGTTTGTAAGCATTGACAAAAATAGGCTCCTCTGAAGCTGTCAAGGTTTCTAATTTAGAATGGAATAGTTCAGAATTGAACTCCAGACTCTGTGAACATATTTAGCTATACCTGCCACAGCTGCCAGATTAATTGGATTCTAAGATGTGGCAACCCAAAACCTTAGGCAACAAAAGAGAGAGAGCTGGAAAGGAAGTTGTTCATTGTTGCAATCCACCACCACATACGGCTGCCTCTACCCCATTGCCATATACAGGGACATAGTCAATACGTATGTAGGTTTTGAAGATTTACCACACTTAGTGAAAAATAATAAATATGAAATAAAGCAAAACGTGTATTATATGGTAAAAATGTACACTGCCAAAGTGTAAGCATTGCATTTTTGATAGCACCAATACTTGTCTTAAGGTCTCAATTTAGTTAGTCTGATATAACATAAGACACCTTCATTAAATTTCCCTCATTAATAATACATGTATACAGGCTTTTGATGACCATTTAAAGTGACAGTAAGTTACTGCTTCTGCCACAATAAACCCAGTTAGACTATGGTCAATTAAAATATAAATTTTATACTGTTATACTAAACCCCCCCCCCCCCCACACACACACACACACACACACACACACACACACCACAGAAATGAAAGGTTTTAATTTACCTAGAAACCATGTGGTGATTGTTCATTTGTCAGTTAAACACCAGATCATGGACACACGGTGGCCTTAGAAATATATATTTCTGTTTTCATTTTAGGTTTCACTCCCAAAATCATGCATGTGAAATTTACACAGTATCCTTTAAATACTATTTCAGTTTTTCAGTCATCAATATTGGAAGTGTGCACTTATTTCAACATGGATACATGTTGCATATAAAGATAGATATGTGGCTGTTGCTTTTTTAGCTCTATGGCTAGTGTTATCTAGCTGTTTGCATGCATATTGCAGGGTCTAGATGGACGGCCAGGGTTGCCAGGACCCCCTGGTCCACCTGGCCAAGTGTCACAAGGATTGTCTCACAGTAATCAGTGGACTAATCAAATTGATCCTGGAGTAATAAATATCCCTTTTGGGTCACTGAGAAAAGTTGAGAGCCCTGAGGTAAGTCTGTTTGGAGATCATGATAATGTGAACTGAAGTTGGATATGTTGGTTTTTTGTTAATTTCTAGGGAATTGATGGTAGACCAGGTGTTCCAGGACCTCCAGGACCCCCAGGGCCTTCAGTTTCAATATTGTCTGCTGCAGGAGAGGTTAATCGAATTGACCCAGATGTAATACCCATTGGACGCGAAGATCTTGTTCCTATAGTAAGTGCTTAGTGATGAGGTAGCACAAAAGGTGCGTTTTGGACACATCCTCTGCTGCACATAGGATCAATATGGAAACAAAGCCAGAGAAGCCCACACTCCTGGGAATGACATAGATGTGTAGATTGTGATATTTGGCACCATTTCAATGATATAAACTACTTATTTCAGGGTTTACCTGGTCACCGTGGTAAACCAGGCAGGCCTGGTGCACATGGTCCTCCTGGACCCCCAGGTCCTCCATCTTATTATGGAGCCCATGTTGTAAGACATTGTCATGCTAGTATTAGAAAACTATATGATATATGGAGAAAGGAAGACATTTCACAGTATCATGCTCTCTTGTAGAATGGTCTGAAGATAGGAAAACCTACAAAAATTATATCTTATCTATGAATTCCTGTAGGTTGGTTGAACAACAGGTTCCCATGTATCTGAATATTTAGAACTGTCTTTGTGTAGCATTTTAGGTTATGTCACTCTTTTTCTGTCCTGGTAACACCTTCACTAGTTCAAACTAATAGACAAATACTTGCCAAACTGTTGGATACTTTTTGAAAATGATGTTTAGTTCCATAGCATACCCTAAAGGAATGAAGTCAAAACTTAAACACATACTTTATTCTGTTTCCTTTGCATTCTATTACATTTCCATTTTCCGTTAAGCACCAAAGTTCTATACTCCCTTAGATTCTTTTCCTGTAAACCTTTTGTCTATTATTGCCACTTTTAGTCTGAATGTTTGGGACTAAATGTAGACATTTCTACTATCATTAGATGATCTCATGTGGAGACCTTGTGTCTCTACAATTGTAGAATTCAATTCTCTTAAAACATCATCAGTATTGTTTTTCTTCTCTGATTCATCTTCAATTATAACTGTTAGCTGCAGTTACAAGCAAATGTTACCGCTATGATATAATAAATAAATTAGAATTGCTTCAATATTAGAGGGAATTCAGTAGGTTGCTGAAACAGAATTAAATGCGGCATTTGTCAGTATGACTCTGTGTCTTTGGATTGCATTATTGAAAATTCTCATGATATTCCTATTAAGAGTAGATATAGGGAGTATTCTCATAAACCCTTTATACTAGCTGGATCGGTGTAACTCTGCAGGGATTCTCTTTAAATTCCATTCAGTGCAAGTGGCTTAAATGTCTGGCATGTCTACTCAAGCTTCTAGAGGATAATTAACAGTGGTCAGTTACCCCCTAGTTACTCAAGAGGGCGTGCCAGACAAGCTGATTACACCGAAAGCACTTTAACGCGAAGTCCTGCAGAGTTAGATCAATCAAACTAGAATGATATGTCTATGGGAATGCACTCATATAGTGTTCTGTTGCACTGGAATCATAAAAAATCAACTTTTCTGTATTAGACATACAGGAATTATTAGTAAACTGCTAGTATGCATTTTACAGCTTGCTTAATATATATAACTTGATATTGGCTATAACATATTCTATAGATATGATTTATCTTATTGTTGAAAAGAAGTAATTATTATGAATTCATACTGATTGATTTGCTCAATATAGAAAGATTTTTAAAACTTGAACCTGTTTTACTGATCTAATTTGTGTTTTTATTTTAAGCATAAATTTTCTAATATCACATTTTTTAAAACTACAGTATTTCTTGTAATCATTTTAAGGATATATTTAAGATGCAGTAGTATTTGAACATTACAAAACTAGTTATAAATTGGCATTTATACTTTAGAAGGTCCATTAACATATCCAAAGTTTGTTTTATTTATTTTCTTGAAATTGGACATTTTTAAACTTAAAATTTGACTTTCCATTCCAGAAAGGAGAGAAAGGAGACCCAGGAAGACCTGGAATTCCAGGATTCTGTCATGCCTCAGAGTGTCAAGGTCTCCCCGGAGAGCCAGGAAGACCAGGAGAACCTGGACCAATGGGAGAAATTGGCATGCCAGGGTTCCCCGTGAGTTCAGTGGTTAAATATTTTGATGTAAAAATTTCAGTTAAAAATTGATTTAAAGATGATTCAATCTTTAAGAAATCAGTCAATCATTGGGATTGCAGTCAATATGCATTTAGCCTTGTTTTATTGCTAGAATTGGCTGAATATAAAGAACTTAGCTTGGGGTTGGCAACTTTATGGGGTAGCACATATTGCAATGTTTTTGATTAGAGACTTACGTTATATAAGGAATAAATATAATGTGTCATAAATATGAGATGATAAGTCTAATTGCCTTTGCAACAGTGCAGGTTCTGTCAAAATTAGTTTTAGAAGCACTATTTGGATATTTGTATTTTATTGGTTGTTACTCCCGTTTTATGTGTACACTGAATAAAATTGCTGAAAAAAAATATTAATTCATCATTTCTCCCTAGGGATTAAGGGGAGCCCCTGGAGTGGGTGTTCCTGGCCCCAAAGGAGACCAAGGTGCCCCTGGGATGAAGGGAGAACCAGGACTCCCAGGAAGAGTGGAGTATGTGGGCAATAATGGGGTAAGTTAAGAAACATCTGGATAGTAATGGGTAAATTAGTGTATTGTGGGAGTAGTGTCTTCTTAGATATTACCCAGATGCTGTGAAGATATCTAATATTCAGCTAGCTGTCCTTTTATCCAGTTAATCCATAAGAATATTTCTCTTTATGTACTTCAGTTTACCTTATATTTTCAGGCTGATGGGAGTCCAGTGACAGTAGTTGGCCCTCCGGGACCTAAAGGTGATACAGGAGACATGGGGCCAAATGGGTTGCCAGGCTTTCCAGGTAAAAATGGTTTTCTCTTATATTTGGCTGCCCAGAAGAAAGAAGAATAGCCACCGAATTGTTTTTATTAAGAGTCCAAAAGTTAACATGTAAACTGTTGAGCCAAGGTAACATGTACCAGTACATGAGATTAAGATGTCAATATTGTATCTATTAATGTACCTTTGAGTGTATAACATCCAGTGATGTCTACTTGATGTAGGTAAGCCAGGTAGAGAGGGTCCAGCTGGTCCTATAGGACCCCCAGGGCTACCAGGTTCCCCAGGGCTATCAGGACAAGATGGGTACCCTGGCAAGACAGGGAAACAGGTACCATGATTATTAACAATTGAGCCAAGTAAAGGACATCACCCAACGCTAAGCATGAATCAAATCTTTTCTTTTTATTCAGTAGCAAAATAATATAAAATTTTACAATTTTTTGGTTTATGAATCACACACACACACACACACACACACACACACACACACACACACACACACACACACACACACACACACACACACACACACACACACACACACAC